CTTTATTTATTTATCAGCACAAGTGCAACACACACACACACACACACACACACACACACATGCAATTAACATTTAACATTTAATAAATGTCTTTACCAGGATAAGCAACAGGAGGCAATCTTGGTCCAAATTCTCCTTGATCAACTACTTCCTTTAAGGTTGGCGTTATTGTATCAAAAGTCTCAGGTATAGCTTCCGTTTCTTTGAGGAAAAAATAATAAATATGGAGATCGTGTTTAAAAGCCATCATAACAAATCACTTTATACTGACCTATTAGTCCATTTCAAAGTCCGTCTTTTTAAAAAAAATAGTTTTTAATAGTTTTTATTAAACATTTTAATCTTTAAAAACAGAAAGAAAAACACAAGAAAAAAACAAAAAATTAAACCTACATAACAATCTAAAGTAATGCTACAAAGTCCGTCTTAAATGCTGACATATGAAGCATTATATATCAGAAGATTTGGCTGGTTTTCAGTGGGGGGTGGGGAGCATTTTGTCTGAACCGAGCCAATAATAAATACCTTGAGCAACAGGTAATGGGACCCCAGGTGAGTCGCAAGGCTTTGCGTTTTCGGACTCTCCTGCCAGGGCTGTGGCAGCTGGTTCCTCTCCATCACTCTCTTCTTCAGAAGAGGACTTCTCGTCCGAGGAACCGGCAAAGATGGCTTTAAATAAATCCATGGATGGCCGGCTTTCCTCTTCCACAGCAGCTTCACTTGGGCCACTGGGTGGGCCTGATGGCTGAACCACAAAGGAATAAGTGGAAAGGAAACAATGCACTTCTCTGCTTAAGTTAAGCCATAACAAAGGAGCAAACCTTGTTGGAGATTTCTCTTTCCACCTCAACTCTTGCAACATGGGCAAATGCCACTCAGCAATCTGCACTTTATTCTGTGGGATTGATTCTGGCCCCTCCTAGATACCTTAGTATGTATTTACTTACACACACACACCTTTTCTCTCGTATTTTATTTACCTGATAACAACTAGATAACAACTATTTTATTTTAGATAACTATTTTATTTTATCGCATTTTATTTATCTGATAACAATTAGACATAAGGACAGTTTTCCCCTGAATCCCATTACTCTGTTTAACAACTAATTCCACAACACTGTCAAATTATTTACTAAGAGTGTATTACTATTATTCTTCTCTTCCTTTCTAGTACCTATCTCTTCCCACTTATGACTATAACCATGTTGTTTGTATCTTTAAATTTTATATTGTTTTATTTGTTTCCTAGTATAATTTGATTGCTTATTAGTAACCTATGACATTCACTGTTGTATCTTATGATTCTTGATGAATGTATTGTTTTCTTTTATGTACACTGAGAGCATCTGCACCAAAGACAAATTCCTTGTGTATCCAATCATACTTGACCAATGAAGAATTCTATTCTATTCTATAAAGAGCTAATGACAATGAGACTCTTTCAAGATTTATTATGTACTTGTGGTTAACCCATGGCTAACCCATGGCTATACCATTTCATGCTTTTCAGAGAGTGTGCAAATCAAAACTAGGGAGAAATGCACCTTTCATTCATCCAGTTTCAACTTAACTTCAGGGCAAATTAAAACCTGCATTTTTCTGCACTTCCAAAATGTGGTGGTGGTTTTAATTTTGCATGCAAAATGTGGCCCCAGGATAAAGACATTTTTAATGATACATGTCAAATTAGTCCTGCACGGTATCATCATCTTCGTTTAACGACACCATAATCCTTGGCAGGGTGGAGTCTGGGCAACTGAATGGAGCTAGCAGGGTCTTTACTGGCCAGATGCCCGTCCCGATGCCAATGCGGAGTTTTGTTCAGTAGATATACTCTCAGGGCGTCCAGAGAGAGAAATAACTGCCTCTACCTAGGATCGAACTCACACCCTCCTGATTGTGAGGCGAGAGCTCCACCTCTAGGCCACTGCTAGTCTTGCATTGTATCCCTTTAGTAAATTGTCACCTGGCGCTCTATTTTGGAGAAATGCATGATCCCATCTCCTGAGACTATTGTAGCTACCAATTCATCAGACATTTGGCATATGCACCCCCACTTCTTCAACATAACAGAAGCACCAAAGCCACTCTCTACCTGAGTGGGAACAAGGTCACCAGTCCCCTCCTTGGCCTTCGCTTCAACTGCTTTGGGAAGTTGGTCCTGGGCATGGACATCAACTTTTGATCGAGCCAAACTTATAAATTCGCTGATGCTATCTTTCTTCTTCTCTCTGTCGGGCACATCCCATCTGGATGACTTCTTTGGCTCTGAAAGAAATGAACACATTTCCAAAGGGGTCATTACCCTTTCTTGATGAGTTCAACCAAGTTATCTTTCTTTTTACACATTTTATACAGTCAAATGCCAACCTAGACATTCACACCTCCCAGTTAGCCTGAGATTCTGTATCAGCCCGCAAATGGCTTTTACTCTCTTATTGTTGGTTAGTTCGTGACCTGACAAATGCGCGCCCGACAAAAGCGCGCCGACAAAACCGTGGCGAGAAAACCGCGATGTTAAAATCGCGCCCACAGCAGCGCGTGACAACAGCGCACCAACAACAGTGCGCCGACAAAAGCGCGGTTAAGGTAAGGGTTAGGGTTAAGATTATTACGTTGTTTTCAGGTTGTTTGTTGATGGCGCGCTTTTGTCGGTGCGCTGTCGTCGGCGCACTATTGTGGGTGCGATTTCAACATCGCAATTTTCTCAGCGCGCATTTGTCGGTTAACCGGTTAGTTTACTTTATTGTCATTGCACCCCGTACAACGAAATCAAATGCGGTCTTCAGTGTACAAGGACAGTTCAGGTTGTGATTGTTAACGAATCGTGTGCAATCATTGAGCACAACATCAGGTGGTAGCTGGTTTCCTCACTGACTTGACTTATTGAAAGCAGGCAGTGAAGATCAGCCATAAGTCTTCTTGTTGAGCACTGTTGTAACTTCGAATGGGGGGGGGGGGAATCATTTATTATTATTGTCCTCTACACTTTTGACTGGCCAAGTTATCTATGATCCAGGTCCTGAAAGGATATAAATCTTCTTGTGATAAAATTTAAAATCTTACTGTTAGGAATATTATCTTGTTGCACTCCCGTTTTCATCGGTTGATTTAGCATCTCTGACGCGGACTCTGAAGCAACAGTCAGGAAGTTGAACACAGAATACTTATCACGTTTCACCGTCGGCAATCCGACAATGCATGACCTGATGAAAAATAAAAACAGAGTTTATGTTTATAAGTAGCGTTTACTGGCCGGATTCCCTTCCTGATGCCTATGTGAAGTTCACAGCATATATTTGCGTCCAGAGAAAGAGAAATATCTGCTGCTTCCTAAGATTGAACTCACGGCCTCCTGATTGTGAGACAAGAGCTCCTTCTCTAGGCCTCCACGCCACTTTCAGAGTTTCTATATCTAACTTCGGGTAATTTTTCTGCTCCAGAAATGTGTGTTAAAATAGGTCACAAGTATAGAAATAAGACATTTTAAAATTCACAGTTAAGAAATCATAGTCTTTAAGTGAAAAATGTAATTAAGTAAACAAGGTGGTCTAAACCAGGGGTCCCCAACTTGTGGGCCGCAGCCTATTGGCCAATAGCTGACTGGTGTGTACCCCTGCACGCACAGCTCCAGTCACATAGGCACTCACAGCTCAATCATATGGCTCTACTCCAGTGGTGGGTTTCAAAAATTTTTAGAACCTCTTCTGTAGGTGTGGCCTGCTTTGTGGGAGTGGCTTGCCAGCCATGTGACTGGGTGGGCGTGGCCAACTTGTAAAATGTGGTGAAACTCACTTAACGTTGCTCTTGCTTAGCAACCAAAATGTTGTTTCATGAATTTTGGCATTGAAGTACGCAGGTCTTAAAGCTGTCAAGTTACAAGACCCTTGCATTCCCTAACCCTTTAGAAAAAAAAAAACCCAGGGGTGTTCAAATTTGACAGCTTTAAGACTTGTGGACTTCAACTCCCAGAATTCCTTCTCTCACTCTTCATCTTGATGATGCGCGGACGGGCGGCGAGAGAGAGCTGGAACCGGTTCTGTAGATTTGTGGAACCTCTTCTATAGAAGAGGTT